CACACACACACACACGCAACCACAAACAAACGCGCGCACACATGTCAAATTCACGTATTTATCGCCGTCATTTTGTGGGAATGTCCAGTCTCTAGTAAGGATCTCTAGTCTACTTGAGGGCGCACCGGCCCGAGGGCCGGCGGGCCAGTCCGAGCCTAAATTCTCACTATTCTATACTTATTATATCGTAATGAACATATATTATGTAGAAGAAAGCCAATTTCTACAAAGTATTGTTTTCAAAAACTTTGTCTTTTTTTTTGTTATTCGTTTAGTTACGACAAAAAAATGCAGATCCACGAAAAGTACATGAAGTCCCTGGGTATCCTGTCACAGATGGATACATCCAGTTTAGACGTATGGGAAATTCCTCGAGATAGAGTAGTGATTAATCGAAAACTTGGAGAGGGAGCCTTCGGTACCGTTTACGGTGGTGAAGCTTTCTTCCCTGAGAAGGGCTGGCTAGCTGTCGCCGTGAAGACCCTGAAAGTCGGTAGCTCGACCGACGAGAAACTCGATTTTCTCAGCGAGGTCGAGGTCATGAAGAAATTCGAACATTCGAATATCATCAAGTTATTAGGCGTGTGCATAAAGTGCGAGCCTGTGTTGACCGTGATGGAATTCATGCTTTATGGCGACTTGAAAACCTATCTGTTGGCCAGAAGACATCTGGTCAACGATCGAAGCTACGAAGATTCCGACGAGATCTCGAATAAAAAATTGACCGCCATGGCGTTAGACGTCGCCAGAGCGCTTAGCTATTTAGCGCAATTAAAATACGTCCACAGGTGATTCAAACAAATTTAACTGTTGTCTATGGTAACATTATCGACGTCACAATAATTGTACGTTCTTAAATATCCTTTTTTTTTAGGGATGTCGCCTCGCGCAATTGTCTGATAAACGCCCAGCGGGTGGTGAAACTCGGTGACTTCGGTATGACAAGGCCAATGTACGAAAACGACTATTACAAATTCAATCGAAAAGGTGAGAGGATGCTCTTGCTTTTATTTTTATATAGCATTATAATTTTATACGAGTATCATTTTGTTTCGCTTAGGCATGCTGCCGGTAAGATGGATGTCTCCGGAATCGCTGGCACTAGGCATTTTCACGCCAGCGTCTGACGTCTGGTCTTACGGCGTACTGCTCTACGAGATCGTTACATTCGGTAGCTTTCCTTTCCAAGGGATGAGCAATAATGAAGTACTCACGCACGTGAAGGCTGGCAATTGTCTCACCGCGCCGAAAAAAATAAAAATGCAGCTGTAAGTGGTCACCTCGATGAGACTGATCGTTTATCATGCGATCTCGTTTATCACGTGGCTTACGTTTCATGTTCGCAGCGAGAATTTAATGTATTCCTGTTGGAACGTGGACCACACAAAGAGGCCATCGGCACCGGAGATAGTTGATTTCCTGGCAATGAATCCTCGCATCATCGCGCCTTGTCTGGACGTGCCCCTGTCAAGCGTGCAATTAGAGCACACTGCGCAACTCGATATACAGCTATCGGAGAATAGTCGGAAATTTTCCATTTTGTGGCCACAGCGTTCATCTTCGCAATCGCAAGGAGTAAAGTTTCCTGAAGTCTCGCCGACTCCGCTTCTGCTGGACTTGAACGGGCAGGACGATGATCAGACTTTGGATTCCCTGATCAGCCAGTCTTGCGAGCAGGACAGCTCTAGTCCTCTGCTGGATTCCACGAGAGCCTCGCTCTTGAAGCAAGGGTGGCTTCATCCGAATTCCAAAGACAAAGAACCTCACAAGTACGTCAATCTTCAACCGAATATGTTGAAATTGTCTATCGAACCCGGCAGAAACGGTAGCGCCGGAAATATCCAGATGGAAGAAAGAACGTCCATGTTATCCGAGAAGAAGAGCACCGATGATGTGTCAATGCTCTGACGCAAGTAGACAATTTTATGAAGAAATTGGGAACTAGTCAGATGCGGGGTACGTTTAATTAAAGAGAAATGACTCTATAAAATCAAGGTCAGAATCTACAAAGATGGTGATCATTCCGAGTTGAAGTAAGGAAGTCAACAAACACATAAGCGATTTCAAAGTATTCGCCTTCGTCGTATGTAATCACCAAGATCATACTAAAGGATTCTTTAAGTCAAGAGAGAATTGCTCTCTCTGACGTGGCATTTTAATCAACTAGCCAGATATTCCTCTGAATTTTCTATGGTGGAGAAACTAAGACGATCTTTTTTTTTTTTTTTTAACGCGGGGAAATTTTCTGCTACCAGTCGTGACCGATAGTCCCCTCTAATGGGAGGGGGAAGACTTCCTCGCCCCCGGGGAGAAGCGAGAGGAGTGCCGGATTCTTACCGGCTAAAACCCCGCAGGTATCCTTCTCGGCGCGTTTTTCATGGTGAGAGGGGGCCCCGGGAAACAGTTGATTCGTCCGGGATCCCCCCCCCCCGCGCCACAAACTAAGTCGATCTAATTAATTGCAATTTAAACTCTACAATTACTACATTTACGCGAGCGTTACTTCTGTAGTGACTTACGATAATTCTTTTGCGTAAACGGGATTTTGTAGTAACTTACAATAATTTACTCCGCGTAAACGAGTGAATTATCGTAGGTTACTACAGAAGTAACACTCGCGTAAACGTAGTAAATGAAAAATTTCTCTTATAAAAAAATTCCTACTGCGTTTTGGATGTATAGAGCGTCCTAAAATGTATATATTAGTAGCGAAATTCGGTCTCGAATGAATGAAAAACTTCGACGATAAAGCCTAAGTAAAATAAGTATCTGTCAAAAATGATCAAATGTAAATTATTTAAACAATAAGATCTTGCTGATAATACGCATCTTTTTACGGGTACATTATATGGTAGATGCGCGCATGAACTATAATGTAACGTAAGTATCTTCAGCAGCTTAAAATGGAAATATTTAAATGGAAGTATAAAATTGAAAAATAGCATGTCAACAAAAAAAACGAGAGTATCGATCCAATATCGTAAGATTGGTACAGAGAGTATGTATGTATACATATTACTCGAGACAACTAGCTATCGATGGCGAAATTAATTTACTGAATTCATTTTTGAGACTGACTTTCATTGCGAAATTATTGTCGCATCATCTGACCGTCGCAGACACGGGTGACCGACATTATTCGTCATCGCAGGCAAGTAACTAAAGGGTACAAAAGAGAAGAACTGCTTCTCGTAGATGCGGATTTCGCGACGAAAGCGGAAGAGACGATCAACGTCGGTGCATCCTTCATCCAGCAGTTCCGTCATCTTCTGCTCAATGCATCTTTAAGACTGACTCTCGAGATGAAAGGGACGCATCGTATATATCGTTCTTTATCCTTTTTCTTTTTTTTTGTCGAATCACGTTTCGAGGGCAAGCTAGCGCATTTGAATAAATTCGGTGTTTTGCGAATGGCGACGTGTTCGCGTAACCATGACATTTTTTTTTTTTTAATAATTGTTACACATAAAGAGTCCGGTAACTTTTTCTTATTTCTTAATTCTTTCACTATCCAATCATTTTTTATGATATAAACTCAAACATTTTCCAACAAAATTTAAAAATTTTTAAGTTGAAGGTTTTATTTTTATACAGAAATAAATAAATGTTAAATTATATTTATTGTTGCATTTTATTTTCAGATTTAAATCTTGAAATTGCAAATGACTGTTTAATGAAAAAAGAAAGCTATTACTATGGCTGAAGGAAAACATACTAATGATATATGGGACAGTGAAAGAGTTAATATCTCCTCGCGAATGCGACTACGCGTTTGTCGATTATGCGTCGCCATCGCATTCACACTCACGACATCACAATTTAATCAATATCGTAAGACTAATCTCTGTCTGGCTGCATACTCGATCACAAATGCGATTATTTATTGATACACGAGTGGATTTCTTGCGAAAGATTTTTATAAGAAGTATGGTTCTCGTTAAGGGTCCACTTAATAACATTCTTGTATAAAGTAGTGTTGACAGATGACAGATAGCACCATCCTATTTTGTGTAAATAAACTCACGTAAATATATATGTATATTTGGCCCTTTCTGGTTTATTAATTAACAGTTTTTTTAGAACAGTTACTTTTTATGTTCCTATTCTTGATGTAAATAAACGTCAAAAGATATATGCAAAAAAAATATATAATGTTACTTATTTTCAAAGTAATAATTATAAAAAATTTGGTGAAACTCCATTCACATATCGCTTTTTAAATAAATGATTTATATGTAAAGCAAGCGTGCCATTCGTTAATAACAATGCAAAAAAAAAATGCAAAAAATTATGTAAATAGTTATATTTGAGTAGAATTATAAAGAACTGGAAAGGGTTAACTTTTCAGCGTCCGCTGTTCAATTTAATGACTGAATAGCTGTACAATTAAGAGCGTTCACGCATAGAGCGTTAAAGACTTCGATAGAAAAGTATTTTTAAATCTCAATTCCAGTTCGTAACTGTTCGCACATATTCGGCTACACTGTGAAAAATGTGTCCTCATTATACTGCTATATTGTATGTACATAATAATTATATGGTCTTCGCGTGTATTATAAAGCAGTATACATGATATCCATTTCAACATCACTATTTAACAATTTTATAAAGACTTATTTCATTATAGAACCATAATTTTTTAATACGTATGATTTGTAAAAGCTCAAAAAGATAGACAAATCTACAAAAATCTCTACAAAAATAAAATAAAAATGTATATATACACACACACACACACACACACACACACACATATATATACACGCACACAAATATATATAAAACGCAGGATGAGTTAAAAATAGAAAAACGATTATTTATTTTGAACTATTTTGTTATTTAAATTTTTTATACTATATGGCTAGCAGCTTTTTCTAATGTACAAAGAATCGTTCGTGTTTGTAGCAACATTTATATGTACAACTGCACGTGTATATATTATATTAAAAAAAAATATATAGATATTACGCCAATATCGCGCACATGTGTATCACAATGATCAGAAAATTCTTGTCATTGCGTAGAGGTACGTTTTTTTTTACTACTCGTTTGATCGAGGAACAATATTCGCGAATGCGTCGGCGTACCCCTTTGGCAAATGTAGACATTGTAGACTACAGGCTCATAAAGAGAGCCTTTACGTTTGTACCGCGACACGTTGGTATATCCTTCCTCTAGTAATTAACTTTATAAAAGTAATCTTGGCGATTTTGCCAGATATGCGATTACTCTTAGAACACGTACAAGATCCTTGAATTTACTCGCTACGGATTATACCAATGTTATTTATTGTCGAATTATATTGTAATTTAGTCCGCGGCGAATGATATTCGCAGCGTACGTTCCTTAAGCGCATATTTATTGAGCTTTCTAAAATTAAATAATATTAAACACCTCTGAATTTTTTTATTGCTCACATGACCATTCTCTTTCATACGCATTTTTAAAACAATTTTTATTTATTTCAAATATTTATATTGGTAATGTTATTGTATATCTAATCACATACTTTCAACATTACTTTCATTTTATGAATGTAAAAAAACCACACATGTAATATACATCCTATTTTCGTGCATTGTATAATTCCTTGTGTAATAATTGTTGTATCACAATTGTTTGTCATTAGTTATTGGAATCTTTTATAATTTTTGTTAGATTTTATAAGTATAAAGAAAAACGTATGGAAACTAAGATATCAAACAATAAACACGTACTTTATAAAAGCTCATAGCCGTTGTTTGCCCCGTTTATATAGCAACACATTCATCTTCTACAATATGTGGGATAACTTCATTCAGGCTAAAAACTACATTCGGATTTAAAGTATAGTATACCAGTAGCAAAGGATTCAGATATAATACAGTATAACAGCGAAGCTATTTTTTGATAAATTATGATATTATTTAATAATTTAACTATGTACAAAAAAAAAGTAATGACGCACCATTTCATTGCTTCTACTAAAATAGTATTCAAAGCATCGTCAGTAGTTACAATGATTTCAACAGTTTATAGAACCAGTTTCTGTTTCTTCCGACAGCTTGCGCCACCATGAATTATTCTTGCACTGAATCCATAATGCATACCGCACGTTTTGAATAATTAAAATAATACAATGTCAAAGCAGTTATAAAATATAAAATTAGCTCTTAATCTGTTTAATAATTAATTAATTTTAATTTTGAAGAAATTTAAATATTTTAAATGAACTTGCGACGTGATTTTTAAATAACAATGAAATTCAATAATTGTGCAATAATTAATAACGATACTACATTGCTGGCTATATTTGCGTATCAGGAAATCTGTGATTCGTAATTCGCGAGATGTGTGCACGTGCCAGGCATTTCAGCCTCGCGCGCCATAATATCTCCATTGTCGGCTGTTTATTTAGCGGCGGCCTAAAAGAAAGAAGAAGACTGATACTCGAGAAAGCTCTCCCCGACGGTGTACGCTGTAAGTCTTCCCGGGCGACGTTTCCGACGCGTATATGCGGGTATTCACGACCGAATACCACAGATATTCGCGATAATAACGGCAACTCAGTATCTTCGCCGTGTTACGTGTAGCTACTCGCACGTATTCTTCACGGCACACGTATACGTTCATGCATTCCGTCCAAATGATCAAAAGTCGTTCAGCCGGCCCATTGTTTACGCGTACATCGTGAACTAGCTTCTCTAGCTTCTCTAAAGATGAAGATAACATCGTATACTCCGGCGAACAGAGGCCACGGGGGGTCCGCTCGCTCTCTCGCAACAGGTCGCGTGTTCCTACCTGTTACGACTGTTCTCAGGAGCTCGGTCATTATAATGTTAAACGATTCGGCAGAGGCCCGTGTTAACGCGCCGACGGTTGCATCAACGGATTTCTGCTCTCTCGATATGGAGCACGGTTATTATTACATGATTTTGAAACAGTGAGTTGCTACAACTCACTGCTACAATATTATGGTAATCATATCTCCTTGACACAACATACACACATTGTTAATCGAATTAAATTATAGAAAATTTTTAGGACACTATGTATTTCAACAAGTTCTTTTACGTCATTCTTTAAGAAAAATTTTAGACTTTTCGAAATCGTTACATTGCAATAGATTAGATTGTATTATGCTATTGCAGATGGGCGAAAGCTTCTCGCTTTTAGTAGAATAATACATGCAGATGTAGTCTCTACACAGTCTTTTTTTTATCATGAGAATATTTTCGATGTCCTTGGCGATCGTAAAATGATAATCTGTCCCACAAACTGGTTTCTACAGAGACACGCAACGTACTGCTTGCAAAATTATT